TCGGCCCCCATGTACTAGCGGTTGCGCCGGCCGCCTGCGCCGGCCGTCACGGCTTTGCCTTTGGGCGGCTGCTCGGCGGCAGGCGCGCCGCAGCTGTCGGGGCCGTGGTCGAGGCTCTCGGCGCGCTGGCGCGACGACTTCCCGTCCGCCGTGCAAACGCACGCGCCGGGGAGCGTATATCCATGCAGGCGCCGCCCTGGAAACGACGGCAGGAGGTCCTTGCCGTTGCGGTTGGCGCGCAGGCGGCCATCCTGCACGATCGCGAGCATCCGCGCCCTGCCATTGCGCTGACTCGAGCGCACGCTGCCACCGCCGCGCTGCCTGGGCACCGTCTGGGACACAAACAAACTGCGGCCGCGGCGGCGGCGGCGCCTGAGAAAACTGCCCCGGGCGCCGCCGACGGCCGCGTCACCGCCGACCATGCTCGGCGGACTGCGAGAGCACGAGCATCGCAGGTTCCATAAACTGTTTCGTCCAGAAGCGGTCGCTGTGGACAGCCCCCGACCACGCGCGTTCGCACATGGCCCCTACGTCAATCACGCCTGCAATCAAGGCCTCGCGGCGGAGCGTCTGCGCGTGCTCAAGCCACATCCGCGCGTCCGCCTGGCACAACGTGCCCCAGACGGTAGGGCGATACCGACATGCGAACTCACGGATCAGATCCGCGCACTGGTCGAGCAGCGCCGGCGTGACCGCGCTCGGCATGATGAGGGTCGTCTTGAGGACCCTGTACGACGCCATACAATCGTCGATGGAGGAAGCACGCGCGGGGCGCACCGCTCGAATGAGGTCATGGATCGCCGTCAACTGAACTACCGTCGGTTGCTCGCCCGCGGATGGCACCCCCCCATGCACTCCTTGTGTTCCTCGTAGCCCTCGGAAAAAAAAGTAATTACCGAAAGCGCGCCACTGGATCACACTGTGATTGAAATGGGGGGGCGCGCTCGCAGACCCCCCTCCCCCCCCCTCCCCCCCTTTCGCCAGAAAGAAAGCCAGGGAACGGGCCTCTCCCGCTGCTCCTTTCTGCGCCGGAGAAGGTGGGTAGGGAGTATGGAGTAGGGAATAGTGAGAAGTGAGTAATGAGTAGTGAGTACTGAGTCACGAGTCGTGAGTGTTGAGTAGTGAGTAGTGAGTAGTGAGTAGCAGTGAGTAGTGAGTACTGAGTAGTGCGTAGTGAGTAGTAAGAGGTGAGTAGTGAGGAGCGAGAAGTGAAGTATGAGTACTACGCAGTGAATAATGAATAGTGAGTAATGTGTAGGGGGTAGAGAATAGGGAGTAGTGAGTAGTGAGTAGTGGGTAGTAATAGTCGGTGGTGAGTAGTGAGTTCTGTGTAGTGGGTAGTGTGTAGCGAGTAGTGAATTGTGAGTAGAGAGTAGTCGGTAGTGAGGAGTGAGTAGTGAGTACAGAGTAGTGAGCCAAAAGTAGAGAGTAGCGAGTAGTGAGAAGGGAGTAGTGGGTAGTGAGTAGTGAACAGTGAGTAATGAGAAGTGAGTAGTGAATAGTGAGTAGTGAGAAGTGGGTGGTGAGTAGTGGGTAGTGAGAAGGGAGTAGGGTGTAGCAAGAAGACAATAGTGAGAAGCGACTAGTGAGTAACCCCATACCCACGACAATAATCCCCCCCCCCATACACAGAAGGGTTGATTATCCACGGCCAATGAGAGTTTGGTCGGGGGCGCGGGGCGCGGAGGCCGAACTGCATTATCACGGGGGAAGGTTCGCCATCGAGGTTACTTCCTTCTTATGTTGAGATAACAGCACCAAGCGAAGCGAACGCGTTTTTTCAGGATGCCTCAAGCGAAACCAATGTCCTTCTGTCTCTGTGTAGTTATTTATGTATTGCTTTATTTATTTCTCTGTCTCTCTCTCTCTCTCTCTTTCTCTATCTCTCTCTCTCTCGCTCTGTCTCTCTATCTCTTTCTCCTCCTCCTCCTCCCTCTGGCGCCCTGAACTTGTTTATCGCTGGGGTTGATTATCCGGGGAAAACGAGGCACGTGAGCTACCCTACACGAGCAGATGAAAATTTAATTTTCATTGTGCGGTCACACATTCAATATAATAACTTTTAAACGTTGGATGTTTGCTATCTCCTTCTCCTCTCATCCTCTTGCTCTTGCTCATCCTCCTCCTCCTCTTCCTCCTCTACCTCCTCTTCTCTTTCTATATTTCTACTTATCTCTCTATCGTTCTTCTCCTCCCCCTGCCCCCCTGAACTTGTTTATCGCTGTGGTTGATTATCCGGGGAAAACGAGGCGCATGAGGAATCTCTGTAGAAACTCCGCGCTTCAGTTCCGCATTATAAAAAGATCTCAAGCCGACGCGTTCCCTCAGCCTCCTTAAAGGGCTCCATAATTTTTCGATTTCGTTTTTGGACCCCCCCCTCCTTGGGGTTATCCAGCGACGCGCCCTCGTGATTACCTCGCGGGCCGTCGCCTGGTCCACCACGAGCTCGAGATTTACCATGTGCGCGGCCGTGCTCGCCGCAGCCTGCGACGCTGTCGGGGCCGGGTCCTACTGCTGCGCGAAGTAGTGGCGTTGCTGATCGATGCCCACCCGCATCCCACACAGCACTCCAGCGACACGATGCGCGCTGCGGAGACGCCCAGTAGCAACGAATGGAACAGCACTCTCTTCTCCCGTCCGCCATGCGGCGACCACCATCCTCTGGGATAGCGACAGATCGCGTACGGGGTCTCACATGGTCAGGCCCCGGAGGGTGATCGCCGATGCCTTCAAAACCTGCTCCCAAATCCCCGCCAACTCGAGCACGTCGCTGGCGTTGGCGATGGACGCGGCCTCATTCGGCGAGGGGTCCATGGAGGCGCCGGGACCAACAGTCAGCAAAGGCTGCGGCGCAACTGCGCCAGCCCCAGCGCAGAACATCGGGGCGAGGTTCGAAACGAGGGCCAGGCGAGGGACCAAGGGGTCCCAGCAGCTGAGCTTGAGGCTCGAGAGAGAGAACCCCCCCCAAAAAAAACTGCTGACCACAAGAGCAGAGTGTCAGCTTGCGCCAAAACTGTCAGGGCACAAGCCAGACCACCCAACCCAGCCCACGTGCACCCCCTGCAATTCTTACTCCCACACTCCGTGTTCACACCGACAGCCAGGCCGTGCTCGACGGCTTCCGCGGGGGCCCCCTTGGGTGGCGCGCCCCGGCACACAGCATGGACGCGTGGGCGCGCACTGCTGGGACCATGATCGCCAAAAACGAACGTCTGGAGCCGCGGGGCACTTCTCTCGAGAAAGAGAAAGCCCACGCAGCGGGAGCCCCGCAAAACGCGGTGGGTCTCGGGCGCTGAGAAAGCCATCAGTTCGCTGCTCCGTCTACTCAGGAGGGGGCGCAACAGCACCAGCATCCAGCTTTCTCGTGGGGGAGCGTACGCACAGCGATATTTAAACGCGCGTCGGACGAGCTAGCACATGTCCAACAAGGGATTCCGATGCTTGTGCCATCATGTCTTACACTTGAACGGTTTCCGACCTGCCATTTTTGCTTGCCGATGCGCCGTATGGGCGCCAGGCTTGACTGACTGACTGTCGAACGTGTTAGAGTTTGCAGCTTACGTAGGAGTGCCAGGTAGGGCGATCGTGGAGGCATCCGAGGGCTCGAGTCCAACCACCTAGGATTCGAACCATCACACACACACACACACACACACGCGCATACAGAACCCCTGCTGGGTGGGAGGGACAAAGGGTCCGCGGGGCCTTCCCTCCCGACGCCGCCTGGCACCCCACCCTGCAGGTATGTGGTGGACGGGGGCGATTGAAGACAGACCGAGCCCGCGCTGAAGGGCCTAAAACTAATGTGCCTCCCGAGTTCCGCTTTCTGTCGCAGGAATGCTGGCGCCAGTCAGGTGCGTTAGACCGTTAGACTTTTCGCTGGCTGCCCAGGGGTAATCTCAGGTTCGTCGCCGAGAATTTAAGACACCTGAGAGAGGATAGCCACCTCACCACCCATTCTACGCCAGCTAGTCAAAGTAGCTCTTGAACAGCCTGAGACAGGGGCACCTGTTCTGGCCGGGCTGGCACAAATCTCGACTGGGCCATCCGTTCCACTCCGCTCAGACCCGCTCTTATCCACCCCAATCCGCTCTGTTCTGGTCATACGGTCTCATCCGCTCTAGCCCACCCCCGCCTCCCTCCTCCGCCCTCCGCCCTCGCAGCTCCGATTCGCTCCATTAGGCGATCGACGCTTTGACCATGCCCCTGCTCATGCCCAAACCCGACGAGGGGACAGAGATGCGGCATGGAACAAAATCTGGCCTCTCGTGAGCCGAGTCTTCTCCACGCCCTGCTCCCCCTGACGCCCAGCGGGGGACCGCAGCAGGGGTATGGATCGACGGTCGATCGCCGCCAGACCGCCCTCGGCACTCCAGCGGGTGCGGCACGCGGACGACGGCGGCGGCGCAGCGGCGAGCCGCGAGCGGACGGCGGCGACAACTAGAAAGCAATTCACGGAAGCTTTTGGTCGTGCCCATGGCGCCCAACAGCGCGCCCAATCGCGCGAAAGAGCGGACGTGATGCATCTCCCTCATATGTCGCTATTGGGGGCTATTGGTCGCTATTGGGCGCTGTTTTTTTGAGCGCTATTCGGTGCAGCTGAGCGCCGTTGGGTGCTATCTGGCGCAACTGGGCGCTACTGGGCGCTATTGGGCGCGATCCGCTGATATACGTTCAAACACAAACGAGTGAAAGCTTCCGTACAGAATCGAACGCCGATCGCCGGGGACGAGCAGGACGACAACGACGACGACGACGACGACGACGACGACGACGATGACGACGAACGACCGACGACGACGACGACCGACCGACGACGACGACGACGACGACGACGACGACGACGACGACGACGACGACGACGACCGAATGTCGGTCGCGATCGCTCCAGCGGCCGCGGCGCGTGCACGGCGGCGGCGGCCCAGCGGTGAGCAGCGGCGAAGCGGCGCAGCGGCGCGAGCGGGCGGCGGCGGCGACGGGGCGCGCGGCGCGCGGTGGGCCTCGCCAGCAGCGCCGTCGGCGGCGGCCGCGGCGGCGGCCGGCTCCGCCGCTCTCGCTCCTGCACGCGGGCTGCCGCCTGCGGCCGGGCCGCGGTGCCCCCGGGGGCCGCCCTCCTCCTCCGCCTCCTCCTCCTCCGCCTCCTCCGCCTCCTCCTCCTCCTCCTCCGCCTCCTCCTCCTCCTCCTCCTCCTCCTCCTCCTCCTCCTCCCTTCCTCTCTCCCTCCTACTTCTTTGCCCCTGGCCTGGCCCTCCGCCACACGCGGCAAGACCCCCGGGAGCCGCCTTCTGCACCCCCCGGACATCGACTCCCCGATCGCAGTCCGAGGGCCGATGCCTCGGTCGCGGGTCGAGGGCTGGTACCTCGATCGAGGACCGCTGCTTCGACGCCCCGAAGGGTCAAAAAGCTGAGCTTGCCGGGTCCCTCTGGCCCTCTCGGGGCCTTCTCTGCGGAATCCCAGGGGGAGACCTCCGGAGGCCCATAGAGACTCTGGAGGCCTCCGAAGGGCTTCCGTCTGAGCCTTCGACGCCCCCTGGGCATTCATGGTGGCCCTCAGGGAGGGCTAGAGAGATCCACGGCAGAGCGGGAGGCCCACTCCACCTGTGAACACACAGGGCTTGAGAATAGCCGCTGGGCTTCGATCCATCCCCGCGCTGGAAGCCCTCAGGAGCCCCCAGGTAGAGCTGGAGACCCACGAGGAAAGAGGGACGGTCAACTCCACCTGTGGGATCACAGGGATTCAACATAGCCGCTGGGATTCGAACCTCACGGTGGGAGTTCTTCGAGGCCCTCGGGGGGAGCTTGACCACAGAGAAGGGGAGGCCTTCTCCACCTGTGAGAATGTACGGCTTGGCGATGGCACGGAACTCCTATGCGGGGGCCCTTAGAGAGAGCACCGCACATGTGTTGTACTGGGTGTGTGCGGGTGAAAGGGCGATGAAGATGAAGAGTGAAGATGGTGGCGCTGTAGATGCGGACAAAGACTGGAGTGGTGATGGTGCGAGTGTAGATGAGGGTGTGAGTGACCGTCAGCATGAGTAGGAACGACGATAGGAGAAGTACGCTGAAGACGATCAAGAGCGAAGATGGTGGCACTGTGGATGCGGATGAGGATGGGAATGGTGATGGTGCGAGTGGAAGCGGGGGTGTGAGTGACCGCCAACACGAGTGGGGACGACGGTAGGAGTCAGTACGCTGAAGACGATGAAGAGGGAAGATGGTGGCACTCTAGGAGCAGATGAGGATGGAAGTGGTAATGATGCGACTATAGATGAGGATGAGAAAGACTGCTAGCATGAGTGGGGACGACGATGGGAGTACGTAAACTGAAGACGACGAAGGGTGATGATGGTGGCACTGTAGGTGCGGATGAGGATGGGAGTGGTGATGGTGGGAGAGTAGATGACGTTGTGAGTGAATGTCAGCAGGAGTGGGGAACGACGATAGAAGTACGTAAACTGAAGACGACGAAGGGTGAAGAGGGCGGCACTGCAGGTGCGGATGAGGATGGGAGTGGTGGTGATGGTGCGAGTGTAGATGACGGTGTGAGTGAATGTCAGCATGAGTGGAGAACAGCGATAGAAGTATGTAAGCTGAAGACGACGGGTAAAGAGGGCGGCACGGCAGGTGCGGATGAGGATGGGAGTGGTGATGGTGCGAGTGTAGATGACGGTGTGGGTGAATGTCAGCATGAGTGGGAAACGACGATAGAAGTACGTAAACTGAAGACGACGAAGGGTGAAGAGGGCGGTACTGCAGGTGCGGATCAGGATGGGAGTGGTGACGGTGCGAGTGTAGATGAAGGTGTGTGAGTAACCGTCGGCTTGAGTGGGCACGCCGATAGGAGTAAGAACAGTGAAATCGATGAAGAGTGAAGAGGGTGGCACTATAGGTACGGATGAGGATAAGGATGTGAGCTGTGATGGTGCGAGTGTGGATGACGGTGTGCGTGACCGTCAGCATGAGTGGGAACGAAGATAGGAGAAGTATGCTGATGACGATGAAGGGTGAAGATGGTGGCTCTGCAAATGCGGATGAGGATCGGAGTGGTGATGGTGCAAGATTAGATCAGAGTGTGAGTGACCGTCAGCAAACAAGGGGGCGACGGTAAGTACACTGAAGACGATGAAGGGTGAAGATGGTGGCACTATATGTGCGTTGAGGCTGGAAGTGGTGATGTTGCGAGTGTAAAGAGGGTGTGAGTGACCGCCAGCATGAGTGGGGACGACAATAGGGGTGAGCACGCTGAAGACGACGAGGAGGGAAGATGATGGTACTGCAGGTGCAGATGAGGATGGAAATGGTGATAGTGCGAGTGTGGATGAGGGTGTGAGTAACCATCAGCACGAGTAGAAGCGACAGCAGGAGAAGTACGCTAAATGCGACGATTCAGAGGATGGTGAGAGTGTGGCTGAAAATGCGAGTGCGGATGAGAATCGGTGAGAGCCGTCAAGATGAGGGCTGATATGAAATCCACTGGCACCCTTGGTGACGTAAGGCAGTTGGTGTGCTGTCTCTTGACTCTCCAGTCCTGTCTCGCCGGAGCCCGCCTGTGGCCGCCCGCGGACGCCTCGTGGGTGCATCGTGCGCTAGGCGACCGCATAGATTGCACTGCATAGCCTTTACCACACAGCTTGCACCGCATAGCTTGCACCACACACTTGACACCGCATTGCTTGCACCACACAGCTTACACCGCATAGCTGACACCACGTATACTGCACCGCATAGCGCATGCGCCGCATAGCTTACACCACATAGCGTACACCATACTGCTTACACCACATAGCTTGCACCACATTGCTTGCACCACGCAGCTTCCACCACATAGTTTACACCACGTGTTTTGCACCGCATAGCGCGTGCGCCGCATAGCTTTCACCACATAGCGCACACCACATAGCGTAAACCACATAGTTTACACCAGATAGCTTGCACCGCATAGTATACACATGTGATAATATATATATATATATATATATATATATATATATATATATATATATACACAACACACATCTAGATAGTATGTAGATACGGATATATCTATACCGTCGAGAGAGCGTGATCCACCGCCGCTTTACTGTGGAAAATTGCCAACCTTTTCCTTCGGAACCCCCCCCCCCCCCTCCGAAAATCCCCCCCCCCCCTGCTGGAACCCCTCCCCCCCCCCCCCCCCCCCCCTCCCTCCCGGCAAAACCCCCCCCCCTCCCCTAACCCCTCCCCCCCCCCCCCCCCCCTCCCCCTCGAAAACCGGGGGGGGTCACTACCGGTTCGAACCCCCCCCCCCCCCCCCCCCCCTCCGGATCCGGAAAACCGGGGGGGTCACTACCGGTTCGAACCCCCCCCCCCCCCCCCCCCCCCCCCCCCCCTACTCACCGCCAGCAAACGACTCCCGGTCCCCACCACCGTCCGCATCACATCCCCCACTGGTGTTCCCAGCACCACTGTCCTCACCACCGCTGTCCCCACTGGTTCCACCACCGCCCCTACTGTCCCCACCAGTGGCCCCACCACTGTCGCACTGTCCCCGCTGTCCCCAGAACTGTTCCCACCACGGTTCCACTCTCCCCACTGTCTCCACGGCCCCAACCACTGCCCGACTATCCCCACTGTCCCCACTGTCCCACTGACTCCTCCGCTGTCCCACTGAGCTGTCCCACTGTTCCCACCACTGTCCCCACTGTCCCCACCACTGTCCCCACTGTACCTCCGTCCCATTGTCCCACCGCCGTCCTCGCCACCGCCTTCACCACTGTCCCCACCACCATTGTACCCTCCACTGTCCCACTGTTTCCACCTCATTCCCATTGTCCCCACACCACTGTCCCCACCACCACCGTCACCACCACTGTCCACTGTCCCCCCCTGTTCCCACCATTGTCCCCACCACTGTCCCCACCACTACCGTCCCCACCACTGTCCCACTGTCCCACTGTCCCCACCATTGTCCCCACCACTGTCCCCACCACTACCCTCCCCACCGCTGTCCCACTGTCCCCCCACTGTCCCCACCACTGTCCCGCTGTCCCCTCACCACTGTCCCCACCAACACCGTCCCCACCACTGTCCGCACCCCCACTCGGTTTTCGAGGGGGGGGGGGGGGGGTTCGAACCGGTAGTGACCCCCCCCGGTTTTCCGGATCCGGAGGGGGGGGGGAGGGGAGGGGTTCGGGGGGGGGGGAGGGGTTCGAACCGGTAGTGACCCCCCCCCGGTTTTCCGGGGGGGGGGGGGGGGGGGGGGGGGGAGGGGGTTGGAACGGTAGTGACCCCCCCCCGGTTTTCCGCCAGCAGCGGTAGAACACGCTCTTTCATATATATATATATATATATATATATAATATATATATATATATATATATATATATAGATTCACATATACTGTCGGGAACTGTTGCATAGCGGCACAGCGTGCATGCCGCGGCGGCCCCAGCGACACGCTATCCCTTGCAGCATGATAGCGTGTCGCTCCGCTCCGCATGGCGCTGAGAAAGGCTCGGGACGATGACGCCTGGGGGGGGGGCAGGAAGTGGATAACATGTCGCGCCGAAGCGTGCTGGGCCGGAAACGGAGGAGCGACACGCTATCAAAAAGTTCCAGACCGTACATGTATACATATATAATGCATTCATAAGCACACAGATGCATACCACCTGAATTGCACCACCTAGTTGACACGAAAAAGGATGCACCACATAGCTTACACATCCACGGTGCTGCGAATTACGGTTCGGGGTCCACGCTGGCAAACATTATGTATCAGCTCAGCGCCGTTAAAAAGACATCGCTCAGAAACGCAGCCGTGAAACAAAAGAGCCTACCACATACAACGAGCAGCAACGGCCCTGCCAGGATGAAGCGCGATCTGGCGGTCACGACACTAGAAACGTCTGCTTGGCTCGCCAGAGCCAACGCGGGGCGGCGGGTCACGCCAGCTCTCTTCGGCCAGCCTGGCGGGTCGCGAGCCCATGGCGCGCGATCCTGGGATGCAGGTCGGTGCCGTCCAGCGCGCGAGCACTCTGAAAAGAGACGGACGGTGGAGGGAACCAAACGACACGGAGAAGGAGGAGGAGGCGAGATGATGCGACTGCCGCAGCGTTCAACTCATTGGCTGAAAAGGGATTTGCGGCTGGCTTCCGCCTGGCTGAGGCAAGATCTGCGACCGCTCTCCGCCGCCACGGGACTGCGCAGGCTGTACATGTGGAGATCTAGGCTCGTGTGCGTCTTTCTCATGCTGGTGTGAGTATTGGTCCTGGTCAAGCTCCGCCTGTCCCCCTCCACCACGGGGGTCACCATGCCCACGCCCTCACAGTTGAGGCACTTGCCCGAGCCCTGCACCATGGCGCCGCGAATGTTCTGGGCGCAGCCACCGCACTCTGGACACCCCTGTCGGGCCCAGGAGTCTGGCCACTGCTGTACTTGTTTCCTCTCCTCCACCCGTCTCACTCTCCATCCACAGGCTGGCGGCGCCCACACGGGTGAAGGGGCCCTGGGACACACAAATAAATAGACACAAATGACAGGATTCCCTATAGTTTCCTATATTTGGGTTTTTTTTGTTTTCCCCCTCACTTCCCATATTTTCCTATATTGTCCTGGGTTAATTGTGTCTGTGTGTTCTCCCCCTCCTGAACAAGGGGTCGCCGCGAGGGGGAGCGGGCCTTCTGCGAAGGCCCCTGCCCTCCAAGAAGCCCCCACCGCATGCTTGCAAGACCGCCCCCCTCGCGCCACCCCTCCTGGGGGCGCCTCCATCTGGGGAAGGAGCAAAGTCAAGGCGGGAGAAGCAGAGGAGAGCAGCAGCACCGTCGACGGACTCCTGGGCCCGACCTGCTCCGCACGGCCGAAGTCCATCATGGCATCCAGGCTCACGGAGGGCGCCAGGAACATGGTGAAGTACGAGCCCTTGCCGCCGCAGTTGAGGCACTTGCCGGAGCCCGTGCATGTGGTGCAGGTCTTGGGCTGCCTGGCCAGCCACTCGGCGTGCTCGAGCTGCTCCTTCAGGCGCCTCTCCTCCTCCTCACGCCTGTCCCTCTCCTCCTGCGCGAGGCGCTCCCTCCGCCTCTTCTCCTCGCTCGCCCGCTGGCGCTGCTGGTCCTCCTCCTGCTGCTTCCGCCGGACGGCCTCGCGCTCCTCCGGAAAAAGAAAACCGGTATGAGCACCAGCTGTTAGAGCTCCGTGCCGATCTCTTGGATCTGCGCCAGACTCCCTCCGCGCGCCAGGTGCGGCGCCGGAGGCGCCGCCAAGGGAGCACAGCGCAGATCCGATAATTCTGGGCGGAGCCCCAAGAGTAAATGCTGGAACAATGAAGAGGAGGAGGAGGAGAAGGAGGAGGAGGAGGAGGAGGAGAAGGAGGAGGAGGAGGAAAGGAGGAGGAGGAGGAGGAGGAGGAGGAGGGAGGAGGGAAGGAGGAGGAGGAGGAGGGAGGAGGAGGAGGGAGGAGGAGGAGGAGGAGGAGGGAGGAGGAGGAGGAGGAGGAGGAGGAGGAGGAGGAGGAGGAGGAGGAGGAGGAGGAGGAGGAGAGGGGCGAGGACAAGGAGGGGCGAGGACGAGAGCGTGGAGGACGAGGACGAATGTTTATGCCGTTGTCTCTTCTTGGATCCTCGGCCCTCCTCTTCCTCTCGGCCTCGAGGCCCTCGCGCTCCCGCCGCTGCCTCTCCGCCTCGGCCCGTTCGAGGGCCCACTGCTCCTTCGCCCTCCTCCGGGGAAACCAGAAAGGTGCACCGATATCGCGAATCACCAGGCTTTTCCCCGGTTGCGTTCCGTGGTGCGCCCCTCTGCAGGCGCACGTCCGAAACCAACATAGACGCAGCACGAGCATCTTGAAGCGTGTCGTTACCTAGGCGGTACGGCCCGAAAGCGCCCACCACCAAGCAGATGCTACATAAGATTTCTGAGAGCGCGCGCGTCGCTCATGGGGCGAACCCGTCATGTAAGAATGTCGGGGCGGTAACGACTCCGACCTGAATTTCGAGGCGAGTCCGGCCGTGGCGACGAGGGCTTCTCCCGAGGCCCACAAAGGCGAGGACGAGACCAGGGCAGCGGCATCGGTGCCCGCTCCTCCCTCTGAAGGGCAACGACCGGGGGGGACTGGCATAGGGTGGGGGACATCGACCCAGAATCGGCGATACATCACCGATGGATCGCCGACAGGCCCCTGGTAGCAAATCCGCACGTTCCTGGGCGGATATATAGATTAACAACAAAGCTTTACTAAACAAAGCTCGCTAAACTCGTCTTCACTAGACAAACTACACGACCAAGGCTTTCCCAAATATGTTTTCTGTAACACGTTCTGTCAAGAAATGAGCGACTCATGATCGTCTTGTTGCGCCCGTGCCTCCGATGCCTATCGTGGGATGTGTGCCTTCGATGAAAAAAATCACCCCCGTCGGCGAGGCAGGGGCGATCGGGGGTCGACGCATCCCCCTCCCCCACGCCGATCACCCCCCCATCCCTGCCCCTGACCCTCGCCTTAGGTCGGGCATGTCCCCCCTACAAGAGGATTTTGGACGAAAAATTAAGAATACATCCGAAATGCGCCAAAAATGTTCAAAAATGGTCAAAAAATAGTCCCCAGACTATTTTTTGGGTATTTTTGAATATCCCCCCCTGTAGAGGGACAGGCCCGACTTGACCCTCGCCCTCCTCTGCCTCCAGCGGCCGTTGCCGCCCAGCAGGTCGGTCTGGGTCACCGGTTGGCAGGCGGTCCTGGCCGCCCGCCGCTCCCTCGGCTCGGGCCCGAGGCGCCGGCGCTCCTGGCTGCACTGACGCAGGTTGTAGGCGAGGGGGAGCGCGGGAGCGCTCCTCGCCCGGACGCGGGGAGGGGAGGGGGAGGGCGCCCGGGGCCACTCTCGGGCCAGGCGAAAGGGGGGGGGGATAGCAAAGGGGGGGTTGGAGAATCAGCTCACGTGGCTGATTTTCCCGGCGCCTCCCGGCGCCGGAGGCGGCTATGTATCGAGAAATGGGCCCCTCGGTGGGGCCGAAACCAGCTGCATGCAGCAGATTTCGTCACCCCCCCTTTCCCAATCCCCCCCTTTCGTTCGGCCCGACACTCGGCGGCGAGCGAGGGGTGAAAGTGAGAGGGGGAAGGCCTTCTCAGAGGGCGGCGGGGCTTCTCGGAGTCCCTCGCGCCTCCCGAGAAACTGCCTGCGTCTTCGGGGAAGGCTCAGAAGACTTCTTAAAAGGCCGGGGGGCTTCCGAGCCTTCTGAAGAGGCCCGCCCCTTCCCACTTCCCCCCTGGATCGCCGCCGAGAAATGCCACGAGGCGCCTCCGCAGGGCCGACGATACTCGGAACGCGTCTTGGCGCCAACGCTTGCTCGTCTGCCGAGGCCTCTTCAAGACGACGCAGGCGGTGCACCGGTGGCCGACACGGGCCGAGCGGGGCAGGCACACATCGGGGGGCCAGCACACTTCCGGAGGATCGTCGACGGGCCCACGACCCCGGGGCCCGAGGCCTCGGCGGTCGCGTCCCGGCCCTCGGTCGCGCCAGGGGGGGAATCTGCACCGCCGAGGCCCCGAGATAGGCTCCCAAAAGGGGGTTGGGCGCGCGGGACGGGGGGGACGAAGAGAGTACCCCTACCGCTACTCCCTGGACCTCTCAAGGGGTGCGCTCTGACCAGAACTTCGAGGAGAGTCTCGGCGTGGCGACGAAGGCCCCTCAGGACGAGCAGCGGCATCGGTAAATTCGGGCCGTCCTCCTCTGATGGAAGGCCCCTTGGGTGGGGCGCCGCGGGTGCCTACGCCCCCACCCCTCGCCCGGAATGGCAGGCGACCGCGAGGGGAACCGCGCGGGGGGCGTGCGCGGGGGAGCGCGGGGGAGCGAGGGCACCGAGATTGCTGCCTCCATGGCGCCCTAGCGGGCGGGCCTCGGGCCAACGGCGGCAGGGGCCCTGGTTCTCGTCATCACCACCACCAAAAACATCAACAACACCAACAACAGCAACATCGTCATCATCGTCTGAATATTCATCATCCTCATCAGCATCATCAGCAGCATCATCATCAGCATCATCAGCACCATCAGCAGCAACAGCAGCATCAGCACCATCATGACCAGCAGCATCACCATCAACAGTCATAAACATCATCGGCAGCATCATCCTCAAAATAGCATCGTCATCATCATCGTCATCCTCCTCCTCATCATCAACATCAGCATCAGCATCAGCATCAGCATCAGCAGCAGCAGCATCATCATCATCATCATCATCATCATCATCATCAGCATCAGCATCATCATCAGCATCATCATCATCATCATCATCAGCATCATCATCCTTATTATTATCAGCACCATCATCAGCATCATCCTCGTCATCATCATCATCATCATCAGCAGCAGCAGCATTATCATCATAGTCATCACATCGTCATCATCATCATCATCATCAGCATCAGCATCATCATCATCATCAGTAGCATCAGCAACATCAGTATCAGCATAATCTTCCTCATCACCAGCATCAACAACGATTTCGTCGTACTCGTCTGTATCATCACCGTCATTTCATCATCAGCATCAGCATCGTCACCACCACCACCACAATATCATCACCACTATCATCGCCGTCATCATCAACAAAGTCGCCATCATCGTCTGTGTCATCATCGTCGCCATCAGCAGTTGCAGCAGCAGCACCATCATATCACCCATCATCCAGCATCCATCATCCAGCATCGTCGTCCTCGTATCATCAACATCATCATCAGCATCAACACGATCGTCCTCATCATCCTCATTATTATTATCATCATCCCCATCATCAGCAGCATCATCAGCCGCATCAGAATCATCATCATCAGCATCATCATCGTCAGCATCATCATCACCACCACCATCATCATCATCAGCATCATGCTCGTCGTCATCGTCGTCATCATCATCGTCGTCATTCCCCTCATCTGCATCCTCATCCTCATCCTCATGATCCTCATCCTCATCCTCATCATCATCATCATCATCATCATCAGCATCATCATCCTCATCCTCATCCTCATCCTCATCCTCATCCTCATCCTCATCCTCATCCTCCTCATCATCATCATAGCCGTCATCATCATCATCGAGAGACGTGGGCGACGACGGGTCCCTGCCGGAGCTGCTTGTGGATACCTGAGATCCCGGCGTTGCGTCAGGAGCGGTCGCTGCGGCAGCGCGTCGCGCAGTCCGGGCGGTGCCCGCTCCTACACGGCATGCGCCGCACCCAGGCCGCGACCTGCCGCCGCCGCTGGCATTGCCATGGTGGTGGTCGTGGTCGCCCGTTGCTTCACCATCCATGGGCGTTGCAATGTTTCTACACCTGTCGGCGATTCCGAAGGGTGTGGCTTGCAAAGGGTGTGGTTTGAAACCGGCACTCTCTGGGAGCACCCTGGGGGGCAAGCGGGGACATCGATAGAGTTCTCCGCCGAGCCCCGAGGAGGCCCGACCAGGACAGCGTCGTGCTCCCAAGGCCCCAAGGGAGCCGATCCCAAACCACACCCCGCGTAACCATACCCTTTATAATCGCCGAACCGGGCCTTCTTGCCGGGTTTCGGGCCCTGGAGCCATTGCAGATCGATCCCAGTCGAAAAACGCCGCAGAAAGATGGGGTCTGCGGCTCTGGTCGTGGTTCCTCGAAATGCTGCAATTGTTTGGCAGCGTCGGATCTCAGGGTTGCTGCGCGGTGGGATTCTCTAGGTTCGGCCTTACTGTGGTAGAGTCGGATTGGGTACACTCCCCACCGACCTGGGGCTTAGGGGCTCCTTGCCAACTGCGTGGGGGGGACGAACCGAAAGAAACACAGAAGGTCGCACAGGCCGATCCCTGACCGAGCGAGGAGGAGGACGACGACGACGACGACAACGGCGACGGAAACGATGGCGAAACAGACAAGGCCGCGACGAGGCGGGGACGAGCGGGATATGGGCGCAGAGCTGGCGGTGGCGATGGCGACGGCGGGCGAGGCGGGGTGGCGGCAGCGGCGATGGCGGCGGCGGTGGCGGCGGTGGCGACTGCAGCGTAAGCGGTGGCTTCCGATGCGCCGCGCCTCGCGGTCCATCACCACCTCCACGGCGAAGAGGTCCGCGAGCTGGTCGCGGACGGCCTCTGCCTGCGGGGCGCAGCCGGAGAGCAGGGAATGTGGACGTCCGCCGTGGGCGCGCTTGTTCGCCTCCTCTCCTTTTGCAGGTCATCCTCCTCCCTCCTCCTCCTCCTCCTCCTCCTCCTCCTCCTCCTCCTCCTCCTCGTCCTCCTCCTCCTCCTCCTCCTCATCATCCTCATCATCATCAGCATCATCAGCATCATCAGCATCATCATCATCATCATCATCATCATCATCATCATCATCAGCATCAGCATCATCATCATCATCATCATCATCATCATCATCATCATCATCATCATCATCATCCTATTAGTGTCCTCCTCTTATCCTCCTCCTCCTCCTCCTCCCTCCTCCTCCTCCTCCTCCTTTTCCTGCTCCTCCTCTTTCTCCTCCTCCTCCTCATCGTCTTCCTCCCCTCCTCCTCCTCCACCTCCTCATCATCCTCATCCTCATCTTCATCCTCCTCTGCTTGTCCTCCTCTTATCCTCGTCCTCGTCGTCCTCCTCCTCCTCCTCCTCACCCTCCTCCTCCTCCTCCCTCCTCCTCCTCCTCTCCTCCTCCTCCTCCTCCTCCTCCTCCTCTGCTTGTCCCCCGCTTATCCTCTTCCTCGTCCCCCTCATCCTCCTCTTCCTCATCCTCCTTCTCCTTCTCCTCCTCCGCCTCCTCCTCCTGCTACGATTCCTACCCCTGCTATGTTCCACGTCCTCCAGCTCCTCCTCGTCCTCCTCCCCAATCGTCCCCGTCCTGCGCCTGAGTTGCTGCATGATTTTGCCATTGGCACGCAGAGCCAGCAATAAGGCCGCGCCCAGCGCACTACATGAAAGCAGCAGCGCCTGTTGGAATCGCCCCCCTTAACCCCACATCCGCCACCGTGCCCTTGGCACGAAGTGGAGTGCCCCAAGGCTCACAGTTGTGCTGCAGCCAGGGTTCTTCTATTCCTACGGGCCAAAACACCCAGCTTTCTGGGCGCACATGGGCGCTACTGGCACGGTGACCCCTGTCGAAAATGACCCCACACAAACCATAATTCGCCAGAAGCTCCACAGAGGGTCCGCAAGTGCCCCGGGACGGCCCCAGAAGGCTTCCAGACTGGCTACGATGTCCCCCAGATGGCCCTCCAAGACGCCCCAAGAAGCCTCCGAAAGCACTACCCAGAGGGCCCCAGGAGGCAAAAACCATTGTTCGCCCGCTTGTGCTTTCCGTTTAAGAATGGTGGCGTTCTCGCCTGTTCGGCTTCCCGTCGCTCGAAGACGGCCCAAGAGGCCCCCAAGATCACCCTAAGACAGCCAAAGAAGCCTCCACGAGGGCCCAAAAACGGCCCGAGGGCCATACAACGGCCAAAGAGGGGCGCCACGCGGCCCAAAAGGCCCCCAAGACGGCTCCAAGAGGCCCCGACGGGGGTCCCAAACTGACATTTCGAGCTCTCGGCCCCGAGCCCAGGAGGCCACAAGAGGCCCCCCCACCAAGAGGCCTCAAGAGGCCCCTAAGAAGCCCTATTGAAGCCCCAAGAGGCCCCTAACAGGCTCCCACGAGGCCTCCAAGAGGCCCCCACGAGGCCCCGAAACTGGCGGAAGTTACGCGGATGCGTGGGGAAAGCGTATATTGGGGCTCTTTTTCCTCAGCTCGAACAAAAGGGCCTGCGGGTATGCTACGACTTGATGGCGTCCGAATCACTCAAGATCCCCAGCGCGCCGCCTGGCCGAGCGGGGGCGGGTGGTGAGCCCGTCCCCCTCGGACACCCCTCGGGTCACCACTCCCTCAAGGGCCCTAGAAAGTGAAACTTAAAAACCGCAGCGCCTCGACGCGTAGTCGCGGAGGTCCAGACCCGCGCCAATGGCGCATCTAAGCAGTACTCGGCTCAAGGCCCTACTCGGAGCACACCCCTTGTTCTCTCGGTCCCAAAGGCTATAAACGGGGGCTGGTCGTCCACCAGGTGTACTTGACCTGGCTCTGGGTGGCTACAGTCCTTCTGCGGCCGCCCTTCCTAGTCTTGAGCTTCACCGCTGGCTCGCTCGGCCCCTCGATCGGAGCACGCCGCGGCTTCCCGCCGCCGCCGACGCGCGGCAGGGCACCCGCGCGGCACCAACTCGGCCTCGCACACTGGCAGAACCAGCAAACCAAGGAAAACCCTGGCAATGCGAGCAGGGGCCCTAGGCCCACGCCTGCCAGCAGCACAGCCAGGCTCACGCAGTAGCCCTCACTCGCGACTCCTGGCATGGCCACTGGAGTCAACGCACTCCCGTCCAACTCCTGCGGTGCCTCGCTCGCACAGCTCGGTCGAGCCCCCCTTCGCCTTTTTGGGTACTGGCACAGCCACTGCAAGCAACACCTTCAGCAGGGTTGACTGGGCCTGGAAGTCGGTCGGCATGGCCCCGACTCCAGCTACCCTCGAGGCCCCTGGCACGGGCACCTCCTTCAGTCCGCAGTTCTCACGGAGCCACTCGAGGCGTGTCCTCGGCGACACCTTTGTGCCGAGCTCCGCCAGGTTGCCGCCCCCAGCAACGGGCTCGAGGATGGTGATCTTCTTGGCCGCCAACTGCTGGATCCAGACCGTCTTCGCGGCCAGGTGCTTGATCCGCCCTGTGCCCTGGCGCCTCGCAAGCGCTCTCGCACTCGAGCTGGCACATCGCCAGCTCACGCGCACGCTGTAGCCCATGAACGTGAAGAGCGCCTTCAGCCCAAGCCCTTCGCTGAGACCTCGAGCTCCAGCGTGCCACTCGGCATCGCAGCTGCTACGGGGCTGCACGCCCAGGCCCCATGGTGCCCTTCAGATACATTGCCAGCCTCTTGAGGGCGCGCACGCCCGCCTCCCGGGGCGACGACATGCACGAGGTCAGGTAGTCAATGTCGAACTGAGCATCTTCACGGTCGCGAAGGTGGAACAGCAGGCACATGGTCACGCTCCTGAACAGCTTGTGTCATCCATGCCTGTCCTGCGCGCCCCCGCCCCTGGGGTGGCGCGCGGGCTGCCCTCCTCAAGGCCTGGCGCCTCCAGCGCCTTCGCGAGGTACTTCTCGCTGGGCTGAATGCAGGTAGCGTCGGCCTCTCGCACGCGCCGCCCCCTGAGAAACTCGCAGCCGGCACCGTCGCCCTGCAGGCCTGACCACTTCACCTCGATGTCACGGCCCAAGTCCAGCACGAAGCCGGACCCTGCGACACCAGGCGCCGCGCCGTTACAAGTCGCCCATGTGCAGCTCCACCGGGCATGCGAACTCGGCGCACCAGAAGAACTGGGGCGCGGTCGGTGGCCACTCGAAGCCCCTGGCCACGAGCTGCTCCGCTGCAAACTCGACCCGGCGCTTCCCTCCAGCACGCCGCCCTGGCAACTGCTTCGCGAGCTGCCAAACGCAGTCCTCGGCGTCGCCCTTCGTGCGGCCCTCTTCCAGGACCTCAGGTGGGCACTCGACCCACGCGCCCTCCTCCTCGGGGGCATGGTAGTACGCGTCCTCCGCGTCAACAGTGAAGGCGGGCCATCCGTGCTTCAGAGCCACATAGCCCACCACTCGGCTGTCAGCCTTGCTGCTCCCTGGCGCGAAGACGTCGTCGCGGTATTCCTGCCACTTGAACTCTCGCGCGACGTACCTTGACATAGCGATCCTGCATCCGAGGTTCGCGTCCCACTTGCAGACATGGCCCCAGCGGGCGCTAATCCTCTCGCCGGCGGCCTCGCCCCGCTCGACGAGCTTGCCCACCCCGCGCTGCCTCAGGCCGTCGAGGGCCCGTTTGGTGGAAGTCTCGACCAACCGCGAGTCCGACGCATCGTGGGAATCAGGGGCGCCCACGTCCCTGGGGATCTGCAGGAGGTCAGGCCGAACGTCATCACAGTGCTCTGCAACTGCTACGCTAACACGGGACCTCGCAAGAGTGCCTCGGTTGTCACCCCCCTCCGCGGGTCGCTTCGGCGATCGACCTATCGGGGGCGTCTGCGGAGGTGCACTTGGCGGTGCAGTGGCTTTCGGCGTCATGGGGGCGTCGCCCCCACCGCCGCCCCCAGCCGGCGTCTGCGTCGCAGGCCCCGCCCGCCTGCCCCCAGCAGGCGCCTCGGCGCCGCCCGCACCTTCGACCGAAGGCGCCGCCATGGGCTCGCCCGTCTGGCGTGCTGGCCCGCCGCCATGGGCGGCCCCAGTGGTCTGGGCAGTAGCGTTCGGGTCTGGCTGAGTCCCAGCTGCCTCTTGCGCCGCCAGGTCGGCGTCCGCAGCGGCAGGGGGCGCCACGATAGGCTCGATCCCACGCGGGACAGCGCCCTGCCCTCGGCGAAGCCACGGCACGCGCGTGATCGCCGCCACGGCGGCGCGGTTAAATCTCGGCTCTGCGGGCAGCCTCTTGACGGTCCTCGCCGTGACTAGCTCACCCGTCTCGAGGGTGCACATGTGCTCGTCGGTGTCGTAGCTCTTCCCCAGTCAGACTGCCCTCGCGAAGCCCATGTCACCCTTGTGGTACACTTTGCCTCTCGCCCTCCGATTCTTGCCTCCTGGCAGAAGCGCCAGGACGGACTCTCCTGGTGAGGCCACGTCCCTGGTGTAGGCGCGGCCGGTGAGGTCCTCGTGTGCAGTGCGACCGCTCGCCTTGATCCTCAGGTTGGTGCATGCCCAGCCCGCGTGGGGTTGCGCCTCCAGCGCGCTCCTGCTCGTGCGGAACTGTGCCTGGATGATGCCATTGGCATTCTCGGAGGGGTTCGACTGTGAGCTGAACGTAGGTGCAGGTCCCACGACCACGAGGATGGGCAGCTCCGCCTCAACCTTGTTGGCCAGGTCCATCATGACGTCCTCGTGGTCTGGCCTTCGGATGACCTTCTGATGGAAAAGGCTCTTGATGAACGCCGCCGTGGCTGCCACCGTGTAGGGATCAGCGCGTCGGTCGGGCTTCGGGGCACTGCGCATGGCGCCTGTGTCAGCACCCGCGACCACCAGCACCACTTCCTCGTCCTGTCTTTGGCCATCCTCGGTGCGGGGGCCCGCCTCCACGGCGTCGGCCGCCTCACCCTTGAAGAATGCCAGGTCGAGGCCGATCACGGGGAGGCGTTCCACCTCCGCGTCCAGCAACTCGCGGGGCCTGTCGCGACCACGTCCCATCTGACAGTGCTCACACCAGCGCCTCGGTGGGCAGTGCTGGTTCTCCTCGTGGCGCTGCCTTTCCTCTGGCGTTGGCTCACGGACGTCGGGGAACGTGGTCGGCTCCACCACCTGCCCCGACTCAGCCTGACACATCCTCTCCTCACGCCACAGCTCGCGGAAATCATCTTACTACTACTACTACTACTACTACTACTACTACTACTACTACTACTACTACTACTACTACTACTGCTACTACTACGACGACGACTACTACTACTACTACGACGTCTACTACTACTACTACTACTACTACTACTACTACTACTACTACTACTACTACTACTACTACTACTACTACTACTACTACGACTACGACTACGACTACGACTACGACTACGACTACGACTACGACACGACTACGACTACGACTACGACTACGACTACGACTACGACTACGACTACGACTACGACTACGACTACGACTACGACTAC